CCAAAACCCCAAAACCCCAAAACCCCAAAACCCCAAAACCCCAAAACCCCATCATAAAAATAGAAATAGAATTGAGTATTTTAAAGGGGAAATAATTTATATAGGAATAGAAAACATCTACTATTGATTTAAATTATTATCATCAGTATCCACCCATCATTCCTGGATCCATCTACTAAAGCACTTGCATATTCATCATCATTGTTCTTTGAATTTCGGGATCATGCATCAAGTTATGTTGAAGCATCGATGAATTTAGTTCTTCTTCGTCTACTCCGTATTTGAAGAAGATTTCATCAGTAAGTTGAATTTGTTGAATCATAATTTCCATCATATTATCCATGCCACTTGGAGCATTTCCTCCACCTCCAAGCATGGCTTTCTTCATGCCTTAACTCATCATTTATTTCATTTTCTGCATCTTTTATTCCTCAGTGAACAAAAAGATTTCCTTAGTTTTCTGTCTGGTAAGCTTTGGAGCTGAATCTTCAGAAGGAGCAACTTGTGCTTGCATGATGATTTAAGCAGTTTAGGGGTTTGACATGTATGTTTGGTTGGCATACATAAATTCCTGCTCTGTTAGACCAATATGATCAACTACCTCCATCATAATATCCTATAAATTCTGCTCTTCCTTTCTCATCATATCTTGCACTTTCTCTTTATATTCATCCATCTTGTGATCTTTGAGTAACTCTCTTCTTTAAGCCAACAACTCTTTCTTTTCTTGGCCAAATCTCTCTTTACTATGCTTTGAAACAACACCCATCAAATCTTTGAAATATGGGAAAGTCAAAATTCCTCTTGCATCCTTTTAAGGAGTTCCGAGAGCATCAATGTCTTCAGCAAGTCTTGAACCACTGCTTGCAGTTGATTTATTTGTTATGATGTGGAAAAGGACAGCACCACCAACTAAAGCACCTACTGCAGCTAGACCATAGATAAGACCTTTATTAGAGCTTGTCATCTTTGTTTATTGTTTATTATTTAATAATAATAAATTTTATCGCAGCCTCACAATTAAAGAGTTATAAGTTAATGAATAAACTTAACAATCAAAAACTTATTTAAATCATATTCAAACTTTTGTTATCCAAGCATCTGAAACATTGAGAAAAAAGTAGGATAATACAATAATAATATATAAAGCATAGATAGGCTCTTTTTTCTTCATATTGGCCTAATTCAAGTCAGGTTTAGTCTTCATTAAGCTAACGGTGCTAATGAAATATATAGATACACAAACTGCTAGTAGAATAATAGAAATCAGTGAGTGATTGAATCTCAATATGCTATAGTTTGGTGTCTGATTGCAAAAGAAGACAAGCATTGGTGAGGAAAAAGATAAAAAGAGATTTGATAGCCACTTTACATTTAGAATTTCTGTTTGCTTGTCAAGTTTAGTCTTAAATGCCAGGTTAATCTTTTTCTGCAAAATGAATATAGTATTTGCAATTAATAATAAGATCGTGAGAAAGTATTTTATAGCTGAATGCCATTCCATATTATAGATTTAAGTCTGATAAATATCATATCCTAATGCCAAAAATACCATAATAAAATGAAAGATTGTAAACTTCATATCATGAGTTCCTCTTCGTTGATAGCTGAATGCATTTATTTGATTTGACACAGGTCTTCGCAAGTTGTTATTTCCTATTTAGTTCAAATAGAAATCATATTCCATAATAATTAGTGACATTATTGAGAACTTTGTTAATAGCGGGAGAGCTTTTAGAGTAAACATATCAATTATAGTAAATAGAGTCATCCATTAAGCAACAGACAAGCCTGCATCTTTATCTTTAATGTCCAATATAAATTGCTTCAAGTAGAATGAAACGAAAGGCAGAACGACAATTAGAATAATAGTAGAAAAAACGAAAATGTACTCGAATACTTAAATCATACTGCACCTTGAAAACAATTCTTTCAGGCATAGCATTAATATTAGATATGGAATGGAGGATTTTAGGTTTAATATATCTGAGATTGATTACTCATAATTAGGATCTCTTTTCTTAGGTGGCTTCCTATAATATTGTTGCTGATTTGATGGTGGAGAGGATGCTATCTAATCCATTTTATTATATATAATAAATTTATTGCAATTAATAAATATATGCTCATGCGGGGTTTTGGGGTTTTGGGGTTTTGGGGTTTTGGGG